TCGATAGATAAAAGATCACCCTATCTGCAACAAAATTATGTTGTAGAATTTGAAAACAGTCATTTCTGTGCGGTCACTTCGTATCTTTTTACAGCAATTTTGAAAAGGGCCGTAATTTTTGCAATCGAACAACAAAAAAACCATATAGTTTTTGAGCGTTTGGTTTCCTGACCTCTAGAAAAAGAGAAAGTTCCCAAAAGATATGAGATAAAAAAGAGAAACATAGCCAAGCCAAGTCGGCAAACTTTGCAGTTTTGAGAAGTGTCCCCATTACAGTGGCTCCCTTCAATCATTTCCTCACCTTGAAATAGCTGACTGTGTTTACTTTTATCACAAACTTAATGATATGAGGGATAGCATCTTGTGATTATTCGGTTATACCTTGTAGTCGGAAATCACCCTGCAATGAAAACAGCTCTTAGACACTGTTTCTGTTGTTTGTTTTATCGATCTCTCAAAGGGTATATTGGACGATTCATTTGAGACCTTGGGAGACCTGCTGCTAGACCGGGCTGGCTATTAAACAAAATGTTTGTAGGCAAAATGTGTGAAATAACCTCATCACGACAGCAAAGTTTTGAATGATTCAGAACTTGTTGAACACTGATCACTCATACGTAAGAAAAAATCTCCCAAGGAGTTCATTGGAGTAATTTTAGCATATATTTAACATTTTTGGTTGATTACAACAAATTATCATTTTTAACATCCAGATGTTGACGAATGTCAGTTGGGGTCATATTCCTGTCATGCCCAAGCACAATGTGTAAATGTTCCTGGTTCCTATAACTGTAGCTGTTTACCAGGTTATGATGGTGACGGCCAAAGTAATTGCGATGGTAAGTTTTCAACTGTGGTAAGATTGTGTTAGTGAGGTCTTCTTCACCTGAGGCTTTTTTCCACGCCTTTGTCTCAGTTTCTTACAAAAAAGACTATTATCAATACTTCAACAGTTCCTTACAAGGCTTGATGAGGACTGCCCCGTAAAGAAAATATAAATTCAGCCCAGCCGAGTAGGCAAACTTTGCTGTTTTGGGAGCTCAGGTGCCGCCATTATAGTGGTTCCCTTCATTCCCTCGCCTTGAAAGAGTTGGCTGTATTTACTTTTATCACAAGCTTAATGATATAAGGGATAGCATCTTGTGATTATTCGGTTATACCTTATAGTCGAAAATCACCATGCAATGAAAACAGCTCTAGACACTATTTCTGTTGCTTGCTTTATTGAGTTCTCAAAGGGTATATGGAGCCATTCATTTGAAATCTTGGGAGACCTACTGCTAGACCCGGCTGGCTATTAAACAAAATGTTTGTAGTCAAAATGTCTGAAATAACCTCATCGTGACAGCTTAAGCTTTAAATGATTCAGAACTTGTTGAACACTGATCACTCATAAGTAAGCAAAACTCTCCCAAGATGTTCATTGGAATAATTTTAGCATATGTTTAACATTTTTGGTTGATTACGACAAATTATCATTTTTAACATTCAGATGTGAACGAATGTCAGTTGGGGTCCTATTCCTGTCATGCCCAAGCACAATGTGTAAATGTTCCTGGTTCCTATAACTGTAGCTGTTTACCAGGTTATGATGGTGACGGCCAAAGTAATTGCGATGGTAAGTTTTCAACTGTGGTAAGATTGTGTCAGTGAGGTCTTCTTCACCTGATCCATGAGGCTTTTTTCCATGCCTTTCTTCCAGTTTCTTACAAAAAAGACCATTCATCAATACGTCAACAGTTCCTTACAAGGCTTGATGAGGACTGCCCCGTATTGAAAATATAAATTCTTGCTTCATTTGCTCACATTTTGCCATTTGCCACGTACAAGTTTCTATTTTGTAAAGACAACTGTTATGGTTATTCATGTGCGGTCATTCCGTATCTTTTTACAGCAATTTTGAAATGGGCCGTAATTTTTGTAATGGAGCAAACAAACATACAAACAAAAAAAAAGAGTATAGTTTTTGAGCACTTGGTTTCCTGACCTCAAGAGAAAGGGGAAATTCCCAAGAGATCTAAGATAAAAAGCGAAACACAGCCAAGCCTAGTAGGTTAACTTTGCTGTTTTGGGAGCTCGAGGTGTCCCCATTATAGTGGTTCCCTTCATTCCCTCGCTGTGAAATAGTTGACTATATTTACTTTTATCACAAGCTTAATGATGTAAGGGATAGCATCTTGTGATTATTCGGTTATACCTTTTAGTCAGAAATCACCATGCAATGAAAACAGCTCTTAGACACTGTATCTGTTGTTTGTTTTACTGATCTCTCAAAGGGTATATTGAGTCATTCATTTGAGACCTTGGGAGACCTGCTGCTAGACCCGGCTGGCTATTAAACAAAATGTTTGCGGACAAAATGTGTGAAATAACCTCATCATGACAGCTTAAGCTTTAAACGATTCAGAACTTGCTGAACACTGATCACTCATAAGTAAGCAAAAATCTCCCAAGGAGTTCATTTGAATAACTTTAACATACATTTAACATTTTTGGTTGATTACCACAAATTATCATTTTTAACATCTAGATGTGTACGAATTGGCAAACTTTGCTGTTTTGGGTGTGGCCCCATTATAAGGTTTCCTTCGTTTCCTCGCCTTGAAACAGTTGACTGTATTTACTTTTATCACAAGCTTAAAGATATAAGGGATAGCATCTTGTGATTATTCGGTTATACCTTGTAGTCGGAAATCATAATGCAATGAAAACAGCTCTGGACACGGTTTTAGTTCTTTGTTTTATTGATCTCTCAAAGGGCTATTAAGCCATTCATTTGAGACCTTGGGAGGCCTGCTGCTAGACCCGCTTGCTATTAAGCAAAATGTTTGTAGACAAAATGTTTGAAACAACCTTATGCCTGACGTGGCGTGTGAATTTGGGTGCGCAGTGACGATGCACAGAAATAATTAGCGCTAACGTCCTTAATAGGCATGATAAGATGCAACTTTTGGCAAAGTTTTAAAATTACATGTTCTTATAGGCTTCAGAGCCACCTTAAAATTTTGAAAACTTAAATTGGCTCTGAAATATTTTTAAACTTCGCCATAAGTTGCGTCTTATCATACTGATCAAAATATAAAAAATATGTGACAGAAAAATTCCCCTGCCGTTTTTACATTATAAGCCCCTAAAGTACAGGGGACCCGTGCGCTACATCAGCAGTAAAATAAATGTACTGTTATTTGTCTGTGTTGTTGTGTGTTTTTCAGTCGTTTAGAAGGGATTTGAATGAAGCGCTGGCGGCATACATTTCTAATGTTATCTTGTCTGCCGCCTTGTAAATTTGACGCTCCGATTACGTCTCAAGGTTCCATTATCGTCGTTAACTATTGTCTCTTATAAATTATTATTATTATTATTATTGTTATTATTATTATTATTATTGTTATTATTATTATTACTATTATTATCGGGGCAGCGGCCGCGTTAATATTTAACGACGAAAATCGAAATTTGTGACTTCGCGTCATAAATTACAAAGTGGCAGACAAAATAATGTTAACCGGCTTTGCTTTATTAAAAATCTCTTCTAAAGGACTAAAAAAGACACCGGAACACAGGGAAATGCTGCTGATGTAGTGTTCGGGTCCCCTGTAAATTAAGGGTGTTTTTAGGCGGTCATACTGTTGCTATGGTAACCTATTTTGTCACCAAAATGATAACAACGTTTTCAACAATGATTGGGCAGCGTTTTGATATCATGATTGTAGCATCAAGTGAAGAAGACAAACATTGTGTTGAATAACTGAAAACATAATGTCCTTTCAGTGCGAGGCATTTCCTGTTATTTAACAATCTGCAGGTTCACGTTTCCTGACCAATCAGGAGAATGCGCGTGTCCTAGGTGTAACCAAAAGTTATGTTATCTACGACACGCGGCTCTTCCTGCGATCATCCTCATCTTGTGAGCAGCTACTTTGTCGCTAAGTCGAAACTTTTTCTCACTGCGTCCCCAATCACCGACCTGTTGACTGTCTATGTATTAGGTAGTTTATTCTTAGTTTGATGTTACTATCAGTATGGCGCATTTTTCCCCCACCTTTCCTGAAGAGATTTTAATTAATGTTTTCAAATAAAATCGTCACATTTATCGCCATTTATCCAGTTGTTTATCGTTCGTGGTCCTACTTTTCTCTTCAGCAAACTAGTGCGAAGCCTTGTAGAGCTCTGGATATACTAATTCCGTGAAATGTCACGCAACGAAAGAGTGGTTATAATGACCCATCAAAGTCTGGCTGTTGGAAACTGTTTTGAGCCACCTTGAGTTAAGGTTTGTTTCACTTCTTTATTACAGATATTGACGAGTGTCAATTAGGGTCTTATTCCTGTCATGTCCAAGCACAGTGTCTAAATGTGGCTGGTTCCTATAGCTGCAGATGTTTACCAAGCTACGCCGGTGACGGGCACAGTAATTGCAACGGTAAGTTTTAAAACACAAGAAATACTGGTCTTCCTTGCTTACAGTGACGGATCCAGAACTTGAGCTAAATGGGTGGGGGGTTTGCTTGCACTNAGATATTCGTCAAAATGTTCCGTGCAAAATTATAGAGCCTAGTATGGAGCCACCATGTTGGAGGACCTCCTTCGTCTTCCAATATGGCAGCCAGAAAATAGTGTAAACACCTGGAACTTACTTTGGCTATCTAGACAACTGATTATCTGAACCAAACCAAAAATATTTACACAAGCACTTTTCCTAATACTTTAACTCCTAAAATAGCTAAAAATCACGAGATAGGTGTACATTTTCCAACAAACGCGACCTTAGCTTCATGTCACACAATGCCATAACTCCGAAATTCAAAATGCGCTGGTTTCCAAACGAAGGACGCTAGTGAGCTGGAAAATTGTAAACAGATATGAATTTAGTACCTCTTATGCCTGACGAGGATAAAACCTTTAGTGGCTCTTTAGTTTTGGATTTGAGAATTTGATGAAATCACATGAACACATTCAATACCAGTTTTGTGGCTTGTAAGCTCGGGAACTTACTGCTCTTTACCTTTAATGCTTCACAGGAGAATGCTTATTTGAGAAGGGGTGTTTATTAGGAATCTTATCTTGAAAATTATCTCGTTGAAAATATGCATATGAATGAGATACAAGCCTTAAAAGAAGACAACAGATGTACTTCAACCAAAGAACTATAACAATAATTGCAAATGGCTCTGAGCAGACTTGATAATCTAATCAGTCTATTCTACATCCATGTCATGAATGTTGCTTTTGCTATGGGGTGCTCATTGGAAGGGGCCACTTATTGTTAAAAAATGACACTCAATGAGGAGCACTTACTAGAAAGGGGGCACTTAGTGGAAGGAGAGTGCTGAAATCCAGTCATTATAATAAGTGTAAAGGCTATGCTCTAAGAAAAACTCTAAGGAGCTCTTCAGGCACCCAACCTTGTAGGCTAGGGTGCCCAGAAGTCAAGATTGGTGGCCCGAACAAAACAAAACAAAATTAATTAATTGATTAATTAATTAATTAATTATAATGATCTAATAACATTATTAATTAATATATGATAACCGATTGACCCTCAAACAAAAATGTCGAATTATTTCTAGGGCATTTATCCCATTTACAGATGCCAAAAATAAAAGGTTCACATGTAATTTTTTGTAATACTGTTGTCAGAAGTCCACAAAGAAAGATAAAATTTACACATTTTTATGAGTTAAAATGGTTGATATATGAAGACAAATTAACTCCTTTTTCCTTCTTTTCCCTCTATGCTTCTAATAATTTAGTTCACATTCTCCTTCTATTAGGGACTTTTAATGCACATTATGCAATCCACAAAAACTAAGAAGACTTTTTGTTGATGCTATACCAAGTACACAAGTAAACTGCTGTCCATATCACTGCAGACCAGTGTTAAACCCACGCATCGAACTGAGCCATTGAATGACCTATGTTCTGACCTCACAGATGAATTTAAACACTCTGAATTGAGCCATTTTGTCTTGTAAACTTCAATACAACACAAGAAATCAAAAAGGGAAAGACAAATTATTGTGAGATTGTTTTCATCTCTAAGTTTAAATCTCAAAAAGGAGGTTGCCCAGCCAGGTGACTATGTATGTTTTTCTTGTTGCCCGAGGATGGAGGCCAGTCACCTCAGGCGACCAGGCGCTGCTAGAGCACAGCCTTGAATGTAGTTAAAGAAACAAGTAATGCAATAAAAATGTTATAAAGATAACAGTTTGTCAAACACAGAAAACAAAACAATGAGGGCAACCTACTTAAACTTTTCTGAAGTTCTTCCACCACATCGTTTCTCCCCATATCTTCTAACAGTGGAATCAACTCCAGAATTTTCATGTCTCCTTTTTCCTTAATTAATGTTTTTACTGGTTCATCTGTACTTCCTAGATACTTGATATAATCATTCCTATATCCCAATTTATCAGCCAATCTTCTATAGTCATTTCCAAGGACGTCATTAGGTTGTAAACAAACAACCAGTTGTTTTTGTCCTTCACTGGACATATCCTTGAGTCTTTTCTCGCTGTCTGCTGAGGTCATATAGACAGAAGTTATATCCACACATGTTATATCTACAGATTTCAAAACACAATAAAATAAAGGAGTCAGTTCAACACTTTTTAAAAAGTGAAGAGGATTGCTTGTCATTTCTTGTTCATTTACTTTCTTTTCACCCGTTGACTTTCGCTTTATTTTGCTCAAACCTTGTGCTTATTTTCAAAGTGAATTCAAAGCTCACTGCTAGCTTTTTTTCCAATAAACTAATGAACAATCCCATTCTGGTTTATAATTACTATGAAGAACCACTCAGTCTCAATTTAAAGAGGAGCCTGGTACTATGGCACCAAAAATTGAGAACAGAACTTGGACTTGGGTGAAATTTGGGCTGGGAAATAGTACTTATACCTCCCCTCACTCCTGCACCATATTTTTTCAGGATCATCTTGAAAGCTGATCAATCCCGCACTGTGTCCAATATATTGCCACCAAGCTTCAGAGCTTCAATTTTACAACCTTTAATGCTTACCAATAATTATAATATTATTATAAAAAACCCTCCAAAAAAAGGTTTCAAGTCTATTAACCAAAACCTTTGTAATGGGTCTCAATATTTCCCATTATTGACGATCATTGATTCTCAATGTATAATTTTAATCTCTTTGGCAAAACATTTCACATTAAGATTTAAATATGGAGAAAACTTTTGACAAATCCAAACTGTGTTTGACCCACTGACCTGAAGTTGTTGAGCTCTGTTCTTTTATAGATGTGCCTATACTTTGATCATCTTGTGGTTTAGGCAGATCCACAGTGGTCTCACAGTTAGACATTTCACTCTCCTCAGATGTCGACAGGGGTGGCATTTGTAAATTTGGGGTTTCCTTTACTCCGCTCTTTTTATCAAGAGCTGGACGTTGTCGTCTCTTTCTCCACATCTTAAATGTCTTGTTTTTAAAAGTCAGGAGCCTCCCTTTTTTCGGTGCTTCCATCCTCTGATGAAATAAAACAAACACAGGGAATGCAGTTGAACTCTACTACCTCGAGCTGTCAAGGGAAAAAACTAACAGCTGATCAAAAATGACTGAAAAGCATGTCCAAGGGAAAATGATTTGAATTTGAGAAAGCAATGCTCAACTGTACACATCACTGTCCTGGGGGGGACTCCCATGAAAACAGGACAGGGGTGCTGGTCAGAAATTTTAAAAAGAATGCCTAAGATGTACCAAGCTCCTGCTGTGTGGGTAAGGCTTGAATTTTTTTCACCCCTAAGAGGTACCAATTCTACAATAACACATTATCTCCTTTCATAATTTTTTGGACAAGAGGTACTGCAAAAGCTCCCGCTGTGGACCTTTTTAGGCTGAGCACCCTAAGAAGTACCAAAACCACTTTTTTAACCCCGAAAAGGTGCGATGAGCACTCCCATATTTTTATATGGGAGTTCCCCCCCCCCCCCCCCCCCCCCCCCCCTACTCCACCCGACCCACTATAACTAATCAACTTACGAAAATGCAGGCTTAACAATATTTCCCACTTTAACTTAACTGTAGATCAAGATCGCGACTCTTCCCTTTTTAAATGTGGGTGATGTTGTTGTTGTTCTGATCGTGGCGTGTAGAAACAGATCAGAATCGACTTTGGTTGTGTTCCAAACGCTTAGGCAAAATTGCCCAACATTTATTTCAAGTCAAGGGTTTTCACGACATCCTTAGTCTAAGTACTTTTTTGAAAGAATCCAGGCTGCTCCTAACTCTACTTGTCATAAGCGCACTCGTGACATCACGGTAGCAGAAATTAAGTTTACTATGACAGGTCTTAGAAGGCAAGCAGTTCGACCGAGAGAGGCATGATCATCATCACCGTACACCTACCTGCCTACAGTTACAACTGAGTCCCATGCTTAACGGGTACGGGCAGCTGGTCAAAAAACGTCGATCTCAAACAAACGAATTCCCTGACTCGTAATCAAAACTATGAACTTCTGAACCCCAAACAAATTCATTTATTGAAGAAAAAGGTAAGAACTTGGACAAAAAACTTGTAAGTAAATCATTCTTATATAGCTTTCAGGGCCGATTCCAAGCATGAGCATCGGAAGTCTTTGGGAAATCATCGGTAGCCTTGGGAATTAAATCTTCGGACCATTGAAACAGATACGGGTAAGGTACTTCAGCTTGCAAAACGTGAATTTACACGAAAGGTACACAAAAGCAAGGTTACAACTACTTTATTGGTTTCTTTTTTAGTTTAACACAGGTAGCAGTTTTGATGCACATATGATGCTTAGCGTCAACGTCGACCCCATCCTCCTCCACCACGACCTCCGCCTCAACCACCGCAATGACTTTTATCGAAACTACCTTTAGCAACATTTTTCTTGAACTGACCCCTCCTATTTCCTGCGGGACGATACCGGCCAACCACATAAGTACAGCGCCCTGAGTGAGCTACTCCTACCCCCAGCGCCACACTATTTTTCCAAACTATCTGAGTGAAGTGACCCGCGCCGCGACTCTGTTCGGGATTGTCGAAGTTGAACTTGCAAACTTCTTCGTACCTGTGAGGGAGGGAAGGGAGGATAAAAGAAGCAAGCAAGCAAGGAAGAAAGCAAGGAAGCAAGCAAGGAAGAAAGAAAGGAAGTAAGGAAGGAAGGAAGGAAGGAAGGAATTGAGGAAGAAAGGAAGAAAGAAAGGAGGGAAACAAAAAGAAATACATCGTTAGTTTAGTTATACACCCGTTTCCAGGAAGAATGAGTTGCAGTGGAATGAGTGCATCATTGTCATCTAAGGTGGCTGACTCCCCATTTTAGTCCGATTTCATTTGACATCCATAACTCAGGATGAACTTTGGGATATCCAGATGGAAACGTTTTTACTAGTTGTCCGTATATTTAACGTTGAGGTTCTTGCTGTCCCCTTGAGCAAAGTCAGCGTCACAGGATTAACTATAGACTACGAGTAGTCCCTCTCTCGTTTAGTCCGACTAGCGAGACCATAAATAAACCGCGAGGAAAAATGACCGCGTGAAATCCTGGGGTCGAGACGCCAGGGGCTCGCGCGGCTTTTTTTTCTCGCGGTTTTCTTTCGCGTGACGCACGACTGACAAAGCGAGAGAGGGACTACTCGTACATACATACATACTTGTAATCTAGATTAACTATTTCTAGACGTTAAAAACGACACACGGTAAGTGATTTAGCATTAACTTGAGAGGGATCAAATTGTGAATAAGATGAGGGATCTGACCCTTCATCTTCTCTCATGCAAATATTGTCTGTAGCACGATGTTACTCACCACATCGCTACAGCTCTCTGGGCTGACAAGCCTCCTGAGCCGCACGCCATGGCGAGATTCTCACCCTGACCCGGTCTCTCACTAGAACTCGAGTGCTGTAGACTGCCCATTCTTGCCAGCCGCTGAGCATAGGCCCTTGCCTGCCTGGTCATGCTAGAATCTAATCTCATGGGAGGAGCGTCATGGATCTCGCGATACTTGTTATGTGCAGTCAAGCCGTCCTCTTCATATGAGCCTAAATAAAACTGAAGGTTAGCAGTTAACCCTAACAAGCACTGATTTTGCCAAAGTGGAGAAGAGCTGAGAGGAGCCCCGTCCATCAGACAAGCAACATGCCCCAAAACTCTGAACGGTGACAATGTGGCCGTATCTGAGTGGCTCTTGATAGTCAGACTGAAAATTTGACCGAACTGAAGTTCTTCTTGCGGTAGAAGAAAATTATCGCAATATATAACAAGAAGGTCTTAAAGTATGGTTCTCTGCTAGCTGATTGCATCTATAGCTCATTCAAACAAGAGTATCAGGCGGCCTGAGTTATATACATTCCAGCTGGCTAGTTGGTTGGTCAGCTGGTTAATTTCTTGATTGGTTGGTTCGTTTGTCTTTTTCTTGATTGGGCAGGTTGCTTGGTTGCTTGGTTAGTTGGTTAGCGTTAATTTCTTGGTTGAGCGCATGATGTTTTAGTTGGTTCCTTGGCTAATTGTTTTTTTCGATTAGCCGGTTAGCTGATTGGTTGGTTGGTCGCAAAAAGTTTACATACATACATGTGCTCACATTATTAAAACAAAGTTTGTCGGCTTTTCCCGACCTATTCGTTTTTCATGCACTTGCGGTGGCTCAAAACAGTTTCCAGGGTTCAGAGCTCCTTAAATTTTCGAAAATTTAAGATGGCTCTGAAACCTACCTACAGAAGTTCGCCAAAAGTTACGTCTTATCAGGGTTATCAAAAGTTGATAATATAAAAAATTTCACCGCTGTACGTGTAATTAAGAGTGTTTTTAGGAGGTCATACTGTTGCTATGGTAACCTATTGCGGTACTAAAATGATACCAACGTGCTCACCGATGTTTGGGGAGTTTTTTCATTCCATGATTGTAGCATCAAGTGATAAAGAGTGGTTATAGCGACCCACCAAAGTCTAACTGTTGGAAACTGTTTTGAGCCACCTTGAGTTAAGGTTTGTTTCACTTCTTTATTACAGATATTGACGAGTGTCAATTAGGGTCTTATTCCTGTCATGTCCAAGCACAGTGTCTAAATGTGGCTGGTTCCTATAGCTGCAGATGTTTACCAAGCTACGCCGGTGACGGGCACAGTAATTGCAACGGTAAGTTTTAAAACACAAGAAATACTGGTCTTCCTTGCTTACAGTGACGGATCCAGAACTTGAGCTAAATGGGTGGGGGGTTTGCTTGCACTACTAGCTTTTCTTCCCTCAGCGATTTTTTTTTACCCAAAATAAGAAGGGGTCCGTCCTCCCCGACCACTCCCCTATATCCGCCACTGGCTTATACGTCCTTTTTAGAATATGAACAGCGGATTCAGGTGTCCAGACACTCAGGAAGTCAGGCCTGCCTGCTATAAGGTGTTTCTTTTCGTGGCGACCTAAAATATGTAAAAAAAGGCCTGATACATGCCATTGTCACACGCTCCTCTAGCTCCGGATAAAATAGCTATCGAAGGAGATATTAGGCTGCGTAGCTTGGCGGTTTAATCAATTTTTTTTAAGCAATTTGAGCGGAAGAGCACAAGGAACCGCCTGCCTGGATTACGCGCATTTTTTATTGCCGCCCCCTATTACATATTTTGACAACCCGATGACAGGTTTTGTGGATCGTATTGACATAGCTAATCAGAGCATAGATCGTAGTAAGAAACATCCAGCCAACTTGGCAGGGAAAAGTCACTGTGATACTGTAGAGTCTATCAAAACAAAACTATCCAATGCGGCGTTTGCTCGATGGCGGCGAAGGGTAATACGCCGAAAAAGTCTGTCAAAGGAGGAATCCAGAGAAGTCTAAACGATAATTGTACACTTTGTTGTTGTCCGCTCAGGATTAAATTCGGAGAATTTTAACATTTCCATGCAAAACCTTTTCAAGGTCTCTAAGCGTGAAGGATTTCAAAATGACACTTTCAATGTAAATGATTACGTTATTGCTGATACAGTGGGAACCCTGTGGTTAAGGTTACTTTAAATCTTCGAGGGGTGTCTTGGGAAGAAATTCGTAGGCACGCCAGTTTCAATACAACCCTAACAAACCATATATCAGATGAAAGCTCAAAAAATGAAGTTAACGATAAAAAAAACAATGTAAGCGATGTTTTACTTTAAGTGTGTCGGGCTCTTTGGATATTCGGATTGGTTGTCTAGACATCTGCATCTAAGGTTGGAGTTGCTAAAAATATGCGAGATGTGTTGCGTAAATGGACGCCACGGGAAAAACATGTTAAATATCAAAATTTCCCTACAAGATTGCGTTTGTCAATATACCCTAGAATGTTTCGGCGAAAATTCACGGAAATCCGTCAATTCTGCATATCCTGTAAATTCACTCAAAGTGGATACATTCGTCTCAGAATCAAATGCGAGACTTAAGCGGCCGTCAATAAAACTACGGACATGAAACATTCCGGGACATTCCGGAACATCAAAAAATTATAATAACCATGAGAAAAATATATAAATTAGATAAAGGATTAACCTCGAAAAATAAAGAAGAAAAGAAAAAGAGTAAGACAAATTGACTACAGTTATAGTCAATCCAGTCGTGAAAATGAAGCCTCATCCAGCTTCAGGTCCCTATTAACCTGTTACTATGAAGTACCCCTCCCCCCGGGGG